CTACACCGCCTCATAATTTGAAACTTAACAATCTGAAACTCACAAACGGAAACATAAACAGAAATCAAAACACCGATACCACCTTACTGCCACTAACACCATCTCACAATTTGAAACTCACAGACAAAAATAGACACAAAAACCAAAACATCGACCGAGCAACAGAAACTCACAATCTTAAAGAGTTGCTATGCTGCGCTCAAATTAGTGTTTTACAATAGCGTGTTCTCTACGCAGCACGGTGACGAGAGAGATGAGAGAGCGGGGCGACGTGACATGCGGCAAAGAGAGAGATGGGAGATGGAAAAAGGGAGACGGCAGAGCGGCGTGGCTTCACAACCAAGAGCGCTGCACGATGGCGGCGCTTGGAGGTGGTCTCCAGTAGTGACAGTGATCCATGTGTGAGGGAGAAGGTAGAGAGAGATGGGAGAAGAAGAGAAAAGGAAAAGGGAGAGGAGATGAAGAAGAGAAAGAAAATGATTTAGGGTTTGGATGTGAGTGTTTTAATTATATATTCAATTAATACTTGATTTTTTATTAAATAAACTTAAGATGTGACTTTTGAATTTGAAAAATTAAATGCCTGTTTTTCTATAATTTTCTCTAATAATTAAACGAGAAAACAGCGGGGTGGCCTCATTGTAAATAAGGATTGGGTCGGGTACTGGACATTAAGATCCCCGCGAGGAATTGAAAAGGTTATTGCATTATTTAAAATAAGAGGGGCGTCTCTATATTTGTAAAGAACATCACTAAAGCTTCATGTAATTTACTCAAAATATTAGTTTTAATTGTAATAATAGTTCTCATATATATATTTTCTATATATTAAAAGTGGCTATGTAATGAAATTTCTTGTTTTTAACGTAAAAACTAACGGAATTTGTTGTTTTAACGGACTATGTAACGGAATTTCTTGTTTTAAACAAGCAGCTGCACCTTCTTTTAGCATTTTTATCATAACTTTGTATTCCGATATCCGATTGAGGCGATTAAAAATGCGTTGAAAAGATAA